AGCACAAAATATGCCGATGCCTATCTGCCTGAATCCCTGATGAATAACTTGTGCAAAAATATTAGTATAATTGCAATAGTTCTAATATGTACGTCTCTGTAGAGTAGAGATGAGTGGTGCTTATGATGCAGATGGATATGGTGATTACCTCTACAAGACGTACGGTGATAGAAGAAAACAGATTTCACCGATTATTTTGTTTTTATGGTTAGATCTCACCGCTTATGATTTCAATCATCATTCATCACTCATGAAAGTATGGAGCCAAAGAAAGAATAGCACAATTGAAAATTTTTCTGGGTCTTGGGATCTACTAACACCGTCCATCAAATGTGATATATATATATATATATATGTGTATATTAAAATCTAGCATGTGGCTCTTGATGCCGTAGGCACTATGTTCACTAGTAGATTAAGGTTCAATTTACAGGAACATCAAAAAAATTATGTTCATCAAGGACATTCGAGCAACTTCATTAATTTGCACATTACATGATAGAAAGTAACTATAACAGCAAAGTCCTTATCCCACATGTTTAATGATAACACCTAAAATATACAGTCACAATGCCAGGCAAATTGCAAATCATTGCGTTAGGTTTAGAGCTACAGTTCTATCTTCCACCTTGACAGGGCTTTGACATCCTACCATTTCATGGTTATATACTCAAGGTTACGGCCAAAAGTCTTCTCAACCCCGCCTAAAGGCTTGAGTTAGGGGGTTAAACTTCCCAAAAATTTGATTATCAATCAAGTGAAAGTTCGGTGAGATTGACAAAATAACTAAACATTTTTTTTTTTTTGAACAGCAAAATAACTAAACATTTAAAATTAACTTGAATGGCATTTCTTGAACAGCTTCTTAATATATTTTAAGTTAATTATTACTTTTAATAGGAGAAAAAGACTTGGACAATGATTCAGGAGACGATTTTTGAAGACGATTTTATGAGACGATCTGTGTGGCTTGTTATGTAAACAGGTACATAACTTACTTACCACGTAAATCGAATTAAATAACCAATTTAAATTTACCACGTAGATGATTCTTCACTTTCGTCCCACAAAAATCATCTGCTTTATCATTATCCAAAAGTCTTTAGTAAAAGTTCTTGAATGTCCTATAAATGGTATTGCTTTACAAGTTTCAAGACAACATATCAAAAAAACACGAACTAATACCCCACTGGTTCACCACACTACTTCCTTACCTAGTGAAAATCAGTCTATTCAGCAACCCTAAAATACAATGTCTTATTTGACTTGGAAACTCCACATTTTCAGGTAACTTTCCCACTAATAAGGAAATGTGAAGGCAAGATTTCATGAACAGGAGAGTTAGGACATAGAACATGAAATTGAACCCTTAAGCACTAAAATGATGTTGTTCAAGGGCATACTGGCACCAGACAATGAAGCATGAAACAAGGAGTACCTAGGTGCAGGACGTAGAGTGCCACGCTCAACTAAATACTAACAAGTGAGAGCAACCCAGACACACTGATGAATACAGCATAGTTTAATACTTAATAAGATAGCAGAGTTCAGCTCATCAAAAAGGGCAACTTGAATGAGATAAAAGCAAATTATGGAGACTTCACATGGAGCTTAAAGCAACTTGGAGACTTCAAATAGGGAAATTGTGGAGACTTCACATAGAGCTTAAAGCAATTTGCATAAGATAAAAGCAAGCAACTTCTTATGAGAAGAAACCATGATGTATGTCCCTAGATACATCATTAACACACCAAAATATGGTCTATGTTTGAAACTTGCAAGCCGGGATGACAAAACAGAACATGTAATCTTAAAATTATACATTCCAAAGCCTTAGCCATCAAGTTCTCTGTTTGAGCATAAGCTCTGATGAGAGTATTACAAATGAGAATATTTAAAAGGCAGGTATCGTAGAGACTGCAATCGGACTGCGCCCAGAAGAGGATAGAATGAGCATAGTCAACAGAGTTGAGTTCAGAGGATTTGGAGGTGAATTTGGTAAGAACAAAAGGGTTGCCTTGCAGACCCAGTTTGAAGATGAGGCTATGGACTTGGAAAAGTTTTGGGAGGGCGTCGCAGGATTGGAGGAGATCCAGACAGCTCTCGTCTGGTCTTTGGTTACCGTAATTTGAAGTAATAATATTTCTACGATAAAGCAGGTTAGTTTTGAATCTTTTGATTCCTAAAGAAGGGCCAGAACCTCCTACTATACTCATCGCGAGCTTATGCAATTCATCGTTACCGCGAAACAGCACAACTTCGCGATCAATGTCCGACTCCGATAATGCTGCCCAGGGCGGAGGAAAGAAGAAGCACGATGACAGGAGTTCACAATGGGCTGGCGGGAGTGGGAAATAATAAAAATCTAGATAAAAGCCCATAAGATACGGGCTGCTAGCTAGAGTCTAGAGGGTTTGGAAATGGACTCAAAGTTCTGGATTGGAGTTATGGGCCCAACAAACAAGGCCTCGGTCAACCCCAGACGGAGTCGTCTTCTGTCTCTTCTCCTCCCTCTCATTTTACTCTTTTTTTTTTTTTTTTTGTGTTTTTTGAGTAATTTTCCTTTTTGTTTTTCATGCACTATTCAGAATAGTAAATAAGCAAAAATATCTTTATCGACATTATTCTACTGTTTTCTTTCTTTACATTGGAATCAGATTGGAGTTCTTCCATTTCATACCTTCAACCTTCAAGGAAGAGAGTTTATAAGGTATGTGAAAAGATTTTTAGTTTTGATTTTTTATTCTAATCCTTAATATATACTTATTAGTTTCTTAATTCTTCTCTCATGTCAGAAATTAATTCTTCTATTTCCTTGTCTTAGCTCTGATCTCAGAAATTAAATCTTCTATTTCCTTGTCTTTTGATTTCATTTTTTAAATTTCCAGTAATTATAGCCAGTAATTGTAAAGCTTTCTCAAAAAAAGAAAAAAAGAAAAAAAAGCCAGTAATGGTAAAGGAAACCTATTCCGAATTTAGGGTTGGGTATAAGTATTATTCTTATTCTTATGTTTTTTAAGTTACTTCTTTTCTTAGAAATTCCTTCCAGAAAAAACGTAGTATGAAGATTTACATAAAAGGGTCCACCACCGTATGCCCTGCTCAAGATACACCAAGCCAACGCCTATGGATTTCTGGCCTAGATTTGCGAGTGATGCAAAGGAAGCATGCACCCCTTCTGTACTTCTACAAACCAACTGGCTCCTCTGATTTCTTCCAAGCTCAAGTGCTCAAGGAAGCTTTAAGCAAAATTCTTGTGCCATTTTACCCTGTGGCAGGTAGGTTGGGAAGAGATGAAAGTGGTAGAATTGAGATAGTGTGCAACGCCGAGGGAGTGTTATTCTTAGAAGCTGAAGCTGTTGGCATTCTTGATGACTTGGGTGATTTTGCACCGAGCTCAAAACTTCAACAACTGCTTCCAACTGTTGATTATTCTGGAGATATATCCTCATATCCGCTTCTTTTGATACAGGTAACAAAAGAAATAAGAACAGGAAAAATATTAATAGATTCCCTTTTTAGTTTCTACAGATTCTAATTAAGACAAGTTAAGTTCTAACATTGTGTTCGTTTTGCAAGGTAACTACTTTTAAATGTGGAGGAGTCTCCCTTGGTATTCACATTCATCATGCCTTGGCAGATGGTACATCGATATGCCATTTCATTAATAGCTGGTCTGACATGGCCCGAGGTCAGTCCCTCAACGTTTCACCTTTCCTTGACCGCACCCTTCTCCATTCCCTTGTGCCACCAGCTCCATCTTTTCGCCATGTTGAATATGATTCATGTCCATCAATGATCACTCCCATCTCATTTCCTGGAAGTCTTTCTGCGTCTATCTTCAAGATCACACAAGATCACCTAAACAACCTAAAAGCCGAGTGTTACAAAAATGGAACCACTACTACAAAGTATAGCACCTACAATATCCTAGCTGCACATGTATGGCGTTGCGTAAGCAAAGCACGATGCCTCTTACACAATCAAGCAACAAAGCTATCCATGTCAGTTAATGGAAGGCACAGATTGCGTCCTCCCCTCCCATCAGGCTACTTTGGCAATGCTATCTTTCGAGCTTCAACAATAGCTCTATCTGGTGATCTCCAAACAGAACCGTTAGTGAATACTGTAGAAAGAATACACACAGCACTGAACCAGATGGATGATCCATACCTGAAGTCAGCTCTTGCCTACTTGGAGAAAGTTCCTCTCAATCAAATTTCTTCATCACCAAGTGACCATGAACAGCAATGCCCAAATGTTTTCATCAACAGTTGGCGCTTCCCTATTCATGATGCAGATTTTGGGTGGGGTCATCCCATATTCATGGGACGGGGGAGTATCGGTGAAGGGTGGATATACATACTACCTAGCCCAACTGATGATGGTACCTGGACATTGATAGCAGGCTTAGAGACCTCTCACATGAAGCTCTTTCAGCAGCTCATTTGTCAGAAGCTCATTTGTAACCTATGATATCCTCCATGGCTTAACCTATGTTTGTCTACTTGTTGGTGATACTGATTCTTAATATATATATATGTTAACCACCTAATATTCAAAAGTTACTTTAAATTTTAATTAATTTAGAGTCGAATTGAATCTAATTTAATAAAAAGAACTCTTTTAATGTTTGTTTTTTTATTTATAAGGGTCAAAATCAACATAAGTAAAATTAAACTCTTTCCACTCAAACCAATCATTTTAGTGATGCTGATTTTGTTAGTGGGGAACATTGGTTTCACCGTGCTTGTGCTCCTGGTGACGAACAAAGGCGCTGGGAAGGTGGTTTCCGATAAAGGGTTCCAGCAGTACAGGACCGGAGATTACTCCCTCTGGTTGGAGAGGCATTTTGTGAATGAGAAGAAGTGGGATCGGATTAGGAGTTGTTTGGTGGAGTCCCGTATCCGTAAGAGTCCTGGGAATAAAGACGAGCTAGATTTTTTCAAGAAGTCTCTGACATCCTTACAGGTATATATTACATTGTTTATTTAATTTTTTTCCCTTCGTTTCAAATTATGTTTGTTTGATTGATTTCTTCCATGAAAACTAAGACATAAGACATGAAATTGAGCCCTTAAGCACTAAAATGATGTTGTTCAAGGGCATGCTGGTACTAGACAATGAAGCATGAAACAAGGAGTACCTAGGTGCAGGACCTAGAGTGCCACACTCAACTCAATACTGACAAGTGAGACCAATCCAGACACACAATGATGAATACAGCATAGGTTAACACTTGATAAGATAGCAGAGTTCAGCTCATCTAAAAGGGCAACTTGCATGAGATAAAAGCAAATTATGAAGACTTCACATGGAACTTAAAGCAACTCGGAGACTTCAAATAGGCAAATTACCTACTCCAATTCTACAAAGGCAAATTATGGAGTCTTCACATAGAGCTTAAAACAACTTGCATGAGATAAAAGCAAGCAACTTCTAATGAGAAGAAACCATGATGAATGTCCCTAGATACATCATAAACACACCAAAAAAAAGGTTTATGTTTGAAAATTGCAAGCCGGAATTACAGAACAGAACAAGTAATCTTAATGTATCCCCATAATATAAGCATCATTAACCTCCCCAAAATTACTGCAAAATAAACCGAATCCAAAAGAAATCATAATGATAATAATCAATAAGATTAGGATACTGAACAGATCTCAAATTTAAACATAATTGTTTTTCAGCATCAAGGTAAACAGTTGGAGAACACCAGTAATAAATTCATGAATAAGGAAACAGTTGTATGATAATCAATTCGCGAGGACCAGAAAGACTTGGTGGACAAATTGATGATGGACTGACTATGCATAATAGAGTGGACGCCGATACTCGTCAAAGTACTGATCGCGATCCACAAAAACAATGGCATAGAGTGCATAGATTATTCCAGGAACGTAACCGAGAAGAGTCAAAAGCAAGCAAATACAAAACTCTACCTGCAAATCACAAACCAATACATGAATTTAAACCACAAATCATCCACTAAACCAATACAGTACGAATCTATGACTCTGAATCACATATCAAAACAAACTCTCTCTCTGACAATTTATAACCAATTTTGAGTTCGAATCGATATGCTCTGAGGATATTGTAATTAAAAATTGAAAAAGGTAAGCAAATATACTAATCAAAACTTCCGAAATAAGAAATCAGGGTGTATTGAACTCTTAGAAACCGAAATTTTTCTCCAGTTTTCTGAGGAAACAAACAGAGAGAGAGACAGAAAGCTACAAGAGAGACTTACAGTGCAACAACCATGGCGGAGACAAACGCCCAAGGGAGGGAGCAAGATGGCGATCAAGATCTCGCAGAAGATTTCGCAGCGAGTCGGCATTTTTTTTTTCTTTCAAGGGTAAATAGGAAAGGGGAAAATAAGAAAGTAATCTGAACAGAGAAAAGTTATCCAAAATATGGGTTTTTAATTTGGGTTGATGCCTCGATAGCGAAGTTTGAAGTCTTAATGGAGAAGGAAACAAGAAAGATCTGAGCTTAGACGAGAATAAGTAAGTCGGTTGTACATAACGCGTCAATGGAACAGATCTAAACCGTTAAACGTTTTGGTTGGAAATTGATTAAACGATTAGGATTCGTACACGTGATGACAACGATACGGGCTTGTGTTGTTGGGCTTTACCAACACGTTGATATTTGTGGCCCACTTGACTTGATGCTATAACGGAGAAATTGTTGTGGGCCATTTTTTGTTTAGAGTTATTTGATAAAGTTTAAAAAGTAATTTGTTTATTTGAAAACAAAATTTTTTATTATAAAATATAAAATTTGTTAGAAATTTAAAAATTAATTTATTAATATCATTTTAAAATAAATTTTAAGAAAATTATATATTTAAATTTTTTTAAAAACTTATTTAAAAATTACTTTTAAGAATTTAACTTTAAATTTTATTTCGACAAAATTTTAAATTTAGAAGATAAAAATTTATTTTTAAAACAAATACTTTTTAAATGATACGTAACACTCTTTGTATAAAAAAAAAGTGTTATTCAATTTTAATTATATAAGTTAAATTATTAAATTAAAATAAAATTTTTTAAAATCTAACAATATATTTTATTTGTCTTTTTATTAATTTTTTAATATCTAAAAATTACATTAAATTTTGATTAATATAGAATTGAGTCACGTTACATTTATTAAAAAAAAAACTTTCTTAATGTTTATTTTCACAAAACTCAAATTTAAAATTTTATTTAAATAAAGTCAAATTTATTTTATTCAGATTAACAAATTATTAATAATAATATATTTTATAATTTAATATAATTTAGATTAATTATATCTAGTAATTAAAAAAAAAAAAAAAAGGTTAAGATGGTCCGATCCAAAGGCAGGTTACTGGTTGGTCTTTTGAGGAGTACTAGGGGCACTCGCCTTCTGCACTCTCCGGCCTTCACTTTCACTTTTATTGGGCCACGTTATTCTGATCGGTAAGAGGTTGCAGCTCAGAGCCTGAAACAAGCTTACGTGGCCCAATGAAAGGGGAAGTGTTGGCCGGAGAGTGTAAGAGGCGAGTGCCCCTAGCACTGCCGTTGTCTTTTACGTATCTCTTTCCTCAACCTTCAATACACAATTCTGCATACACTGATACACATGCAGACATACCGTACAATTCAAACTACTGTAATAAGCTTTGGGTCAAAGAGAGGGTAATTATAGTAATTGACTTTTTACCCTAACAAGTAACAAATATCCCGACACGCATCTGGCATTCCCCATCTTTGCTCTTTTTATATCAACATCGTGTTGCCGCACGACACGAGCAGTCCAAGCCTAAGCATCATCATGTACTCGCATCTCCAAATATCTGCTACTGCTAGGCTATTCTGCCTTTTTATTTTTCATTCAAATTTCAAAACTCTCTTTCTTAATTTTTTCCCCACCAATGGCAATAATCTGCTTTGTTTTTTTTTTTTTTTTTTTTTTAAATAAATGACAATTATCTGCTACTAGC